CCGGCGTCCTTTAAAAGGGCTCTGGTGAAATAAATTATTATAATGGAAACTTAAAGTGGTCTGTTTTTATATATATATATATATATATATATATATATATATATATATTCTGGGTGTTAATAACCCGCGAAAATTTGAAAATACGGAAAGAAACAAATTAATGTATTAATTTTTTTTTTATCTGAAACCGTGGCACTGCATTCAGTTGTATTCACTTCAATTTTTTTTTTCGCATCCTTTACCCATTTATTTTCGCCTGGTATTGCTTCTTTTTCATATACATGAATTTAGTACCACGGACACTAGGAGGAATCAACTACATTGCAGTCTTATTCCATTCATAAGAAGGAAATTTCATTCGAAAATATTAAGAATTGTTATTTTAGAGAACAAACTACAGAGAGGAAACTCCACCTTCCCGAACACTACAATCGTGCTGAAAACTGAAAAAATACAAATCTAAAATATTGTTATAAACTGTTACGTACACACTTGCTTATAATTCTTCTGTTCCCTATGAATACTATTATTTATTGAAGTCTACAGATAATCTTTCCTACAATTTCTCATAGAGTAAATACCTTAATACCTCTTAAATTCCAAGAGCAACCTCGTTCAATAAGCCTTAGTTTTTAGGTGTTTCTTTCTCTTGTATGAGCTGAACTGTTATTAAGAATAAAGTTTTCATTTTTACCCGTTATAAATTTTCCTAGGTTATTTTTCTGAATTGACATGTGCATTTCTTTAAGGTACGTTGCTAAAAAAATCTTCCTACGTCGGTAAGTATTATGATCCACTAATTCTTTCGGAGCTAATTCGAGACAAACTTCAGTGCTTACAGGCATTCTTCTATTTATATCTTTTCACAAATCTATATCATCAGATAGCATTGCAAGTGGAGAGAGTAAGATATAATTCTTTGCAAACATATTTGTTATAAAAGTTTCACAATTGTTATTATCCAGTATATAAAGTGTGCGTTTACGTCCCAAAGAACAGTGCGAACTGCTTAGCAACCTTGAAATATTTGGAAAGAATACTAGAGATATCCAGGACCTATACTGGCAGAAAACCGCCCGTATAAGCATAGAAAATGCATTCAGTAAATATACAAAAATAGACAGAGTCTAAGACAAGGTTGTGTCATCTCAACGGATTTATTCAACGTATAGAGTAAAGCGATTCTAATAGAATTAGAAGTCCACGCAGAACTTATTAATAACGGCCATTGTTTTAACAACATAAGTAGTCTTCAGATATTTTGAAAGTATATTAAAATACACCAGAACCTTTACGGGCAGCAAACCGCCTGTATATGAACACAATCTTAACAATATGCAGATGACAGTTGATAGTCACAGCAAGCAAGCTTCAAGAACTACTACAGAAAGAAAACGAAAAGAAAAAATCTAAACATAATTTGCAAGGTTTTCAGCAGAATGAAGAGCTCAACATGCAAATTACAGATAATAAAATCAAACAATTACAACAATTGAAATATCTGTGAAACGTTTTAACAGAAGGCGGAAAGTGAAACACCGGAATCAAAAAGCGCATTAGTATAGAGAAAGATGCATTACCAAAATTAAGCAAAGAAACAGGAAGATTCTTAAGAAATTAAATACTGAATTATTATATGATATCAGTCCTGCCATAGAGCAGTGAATTCTAGGCAATCTTCTCAGAGATGATGAAGAGACAAAACAACAGAAATGTGGTTCTATATAAAGATGTTGAGAATACCATGGAACGAATATTTGAGCAACGATGAAGTTCTGTAGAAAATTGAAACAATGGAGATATACTTAACATAAGAAAAAGACAGTTGAATTTCTACGTTATATAATGAGAAAAGAGGGTTTGGAGAACAGAATCTGATACTTACAGAACAGATTGAATACAAGAGAGACAGGGGAAAAGATTACATATCCTAGCTAGCGAGCTTTCAAAAATGGGTAAGACAAGGCGTATTAAGTGCTAAAAAGGCGTATTAAGTGCTAAAAAGACACGGAAATTGTGGAGAGCCATGATCACCAAGGTTCAGAAAGGTCACGACGCTTAGGTTTCCCATAATCGACACTTATTTATTGACGTGCTTATAATGATTCTTTTGTTTGGAAAATCTTACTTAACGCGTGGCACAACATTATTTATATGCATAAACAATAAATTGTTAAATATCGAAAATATTTACACATGGACTATAGCCTTTGTTGTTGATATCACAAAGTTTTGGTCGTTGTACACACCGGACAATAATTTAGTAGATGAAAGCGTTGGCACTTGAATTGGTGATAAATTGCGTTTACAATCATTTCTAGGATGTACTTTGACTCAGCGTGAGCAGTTAATGCATAATACTAAAAATGAACTAGACGAGAAATCTTTGGAAACGCAAGGCAGAACGAGATTCATCTACCCTCGTAGATTAAATAAAGTGTTCACTTCGAATTCGCCTGTAGGTTCATCGGATCGACAATCTCCTGATGAAGACCAGAGTGCACCACGACCGAAACGGTGTGATAACGACAATAATGATGTTGATAATTGTCCGCGTGTACATAATATGAATAATGATAACTCGTCATCACAAACATTCAGACAGAAATTAAATATCAGAAATTAGCGCAGGAAATTTAAATCAAGTTAAACTCCAAAGTGATAATGTCGTCACAAGGATTTAGTGCACAGCAATAGCAAAAACTAAATCAAATTGGGCTGAAAACTGGAAAAGTACAAATCTAAAATATGGTTATAAACTAGACAGCTTGGTTTCAAAGTCGACGTGAAAAAAGAGTGGGGAGGTGGGGGGGGTAGTTTGGAAATTATTCAGGCATACAATCAAGAATTTAATCAACTTTGGGTCAGACTCAATGGCCTTACCTCATTTGTAAGTTGCCCTTATCTAACCTGAGAACTGTACGAATTACGAGCAATAATTACACAGGCATAGATACAATGTAAATATCTGTGGGAAAACAGATAGCTCAGTGGAAATGTCGATGAAGGGGGATCGACAGTTGGAGCCGTGTTGCGGGAAATGATCAGCAGGTATCTTTTTTTTTTAAAGAAATGACCAAGGGAAAATCAAGTAGATTAAAAAACATTTCGGGTAAAAGAAAACTGCAAGAAGAATTAGATTTTACTCTTTGTCCTTCAAGACATTGGTTGTAATGGCTCTCCACAACCTTCTATCAGCTGTAAGAATTGCCTAGCCTCTATCTTTCTGTTCCGCCATCTATTGACAAAAGAAAAATACAACTAATGAAGAAAAATTAGAAATGTTCGGATTTTTCTTACAGGGAGTTTGCGACCATGCCTCTTGACAAAACCCTACCTTTCGTTGATGTAAATGTTTATATTTTACGCCGTTTGTTTTTTAAGATCTTTTCTACATATGGATTCGTGAAATAGTTTACTCACCTCTCTCGCCTTTACTATGCCTTTTGAACGTTGCATTCTCCAAACATTTCGCCATTATGTGATTTTTTTCTTATTACCAATTCTCTGGCAGTTACTATTTTCTTTCACACATCCTTATTACATCTACGCTTTGTTCATTGTAATCCATTATTCGTTGGAAGATGCACATTTCTATTGCTGCAAGTATCGTTTCTGTGTTATACAACTTTTACTGCCTTATAGATGACCAGATATTACATAACAATCCAAAACTATTTTTGTTGCTCCTAAAGGGGTTTCTAATAACTTAATATATTGTTCGGTTTTTGAATTGTATCTTTCGATATAACTATGTGCCTGCGGATTTTTGTGCAACATTAAACATGATTGATTGCTAGATCCAATACAAGAAGTACTCAAAAATATTAACTGTGCATAGAAAAATCAAGATAACAATAAAACAGCAACCAACAAAAAGATTAATTTACAAAAGATTTTGTATACGGGCAAAGTGGATTTGTATATGAGAATTAACAGATCTTTTGCGTACATGTAAGAAATAGATAAGAAGAATATATATAAACGAAGAAGAAAATATATATATATAAGAGAAACTGATGGACCATGGAAACAAAGAAACTACGCACACAAAACATTTTTCACAAATAGTAAATACGCGAACAGCACAATGCTCTCTAAGTATATCTGGGAAATTAAAAGCAAAAAGCAAATCACCAAAAATACCAACGAAAATAAGGTAAACAACATCAGCCAACAACAATCAATGCGAAAACTTCAAATTCTGCTTGGATGGAAAATAGATATATTTACATTCACAAACCAAAACAAACTACTAAATAAATGATCAGGTCCCATCTCAAAATGCAAACACGAAAACAAATTTTTACTAAATTACATAAAAATCGAAAATTGAAAAGAATAAATATAAATAAGAAAAATAAATAAGCAAAGACAAGTAAAATAAATTAATCCAAATAAAGTAAATTATAAACAGATTAACAACCCACTCCCCCATCAAATGACCGTTAGAATAGACTACCCACAGTGCAATATATTACCAATAATTAATCACTGACTCGTATATAGAAATAGTCGAGAATCAACAAAACGGATGTCGCCTGACGATTGCGTTTAGCAGGAAATAGTCTGTCGCCTGTAAGTGTTCACTTCGATATTTGCATACGCTCTATCGTTGATATTGAGCACTTTATCCCATAAATATAGCATACTTTTTCTAGATAGGTATGACTTAAACAAGTAGCGAAATCTTCCAATATATTGGTGTATTAGAATTCCTATTTTGTCACGTCAGCTTTTATCGTTCTTTTGGATTAGTTTGATTTAAATTAGTCTAGAATATATTTCTTCTGTTTTCTTATATCCTACTCTGTTAGTATATAGGGATTATATATATATATATATATATATATACACACATACACCAGAAAATGAAATATGTAGGAGAAAAGAAAGCTCGAGGGTTGTTTTTGTTTCATCCATATTTCATTTTCTGATAAAGCTAAAATAAAAGCGAAAATTCTTAAATTATAAAAGTTTACTATTTTGTCCTTATCCGATCATTTGGATTCAGGCAGGTAGATATAACGCCGAGGCGGCCACAGAGATAGCACACGCCGAGGCGGCGCAGAGATAGCGAGCCGAGGCCACAGAGAGATAACGCACACGCCGAGGCGGCCACAGAGATAAGCGCACACGCCGAGGCGGCCAGAGATAGCGCACACGCCGAGGCGGCCACAGAGATAGCGCACACGCCGAGGCGGCCACAGAGATAGCGCACACGCCGAGGCGGCCACAGAGATAGCGCACACGCCGAGGCGGCCACAGAGGTAACGCACACGCCGAGGCGGCCACAGAGATAACGCACACGCCGAGGCGGCCACAGAGAGGCACACGCCACAGAGATAATAGCGCACACGCCGAGGCGGCCACAGAGATATAACGCGACACGCGCCGAGGCGGCCACAGAGATAACGCACACGCCGAGGCGGCAGATATAGCGCACACGCCGAGGCGGCTACAGAGATAGCGCACACGCCGAGGCGGCCGAGGCGCACACGCCGAGGCGGCCACAGAGATAACGCACACGCCGAGGCGGCCACAGATAGCGCACACGCCGAGGCGGCCACAGAGATAGCGCACACGCCGAGGCGGCCACAGAGATAGCGCACATAACGGCTACAGAGATAGCGCACACGCCGAGGCGGCCACAGAGATAAGGCGGTTACAGAGATAGCGCACACGCCGAGGCGGCCACAGAGATAACGCACACCGAGGCGGGACATAGACACGCCGAGGCGGCCACAGAGATAGCGCACACGCCGAGGCGGATTGATAGCGCACACGCCGAGGCGGCCACAGAGATTCATATAGGATAGCGCACACGCCGAATAGCGCACAAAGGCGGCCACAGAGATTTTCTGCCGAGGCGGCCACAGAATGATTAACAGAGATAGCGCACACGCCGTAATATGTAAATCGATAGGATTTTCTGGAAATGATACCAGAATGCTTATCATTTGTCTTCATTTTTTTTTCTTCTTTCTCCACGTCTGTCTAATATCCAAAGCTAGAGAGTTTTTCCGCCTCTACTATTCAATCTATATCCAATGGTGACTGGATCAATTAACACGTTTGCACTTTCGATTCTGAAATCCGTTACACTACTTAAATATCCCTTTTTTTCTATTTCTTTATTGATTCACATACATCGGCTCTGAACTACAGTAAAATCGATAACAAACGTGATTTGGTCACAGAAGGACATGCATGTACACGTTAATGTTGCTCTTTGTGAAAGTAGAAAGTGTGAAAATACTTCGTGTATTTAAGTATACGTGTGATTGTCTTGGACGAGCATTGCGTATAAAAGAGGAGATTCGTCCACGCCAGTCAAGTGGTGATGTGATTAGTCATTGAGTTGTGTAGACTCGGAGACGAAGAGGAGAGAGAGATTAGAATGCGTTTAATGAAGCAGTCAACGTTAAGCATTTATCCGGAACAAGTAGAACCGAGCAGAACCAGAAAATGCCAGGTTTTGCATTAATGTAAACAGAAAAAAAATGTCTGAGTCGCAATTGTTACTATTCTGCCACTATGACAATGATCACCAAACTACGAATAATATAAAGACGCAACGAGGGCGTCCTAAGAAAAACAGAACAAAAAAAAGGCATAATCAAGGAATATAGTAATATAAGCGAGAATAAGTTATAATCCTTTATTTCTATGTGCTTTGTCCTTTCAGGACGTAGGCGATCATTTCTCTCCACCCCTCTCTCTCTCTTTCTTCCTTGCAGCTCTCAACCAGTTTCTTCCTCCTGTCACTTCCCCCAGACCACGTTCTGTCATCCACTTGCTTAGGACCGCTAGGTATGTCATGCGTTGTTTTCCCTTGTCTCTTTCCCGTGTCTATCAGATTCTCCAGGACCTCCATTATTATGTGTCCCAGGAACTTCAGCCTCCTCTTCCTGATGTTAAGTATAAGCCTCCTCCTTGTTTGCATCCTATCTAAGACCACATCGTTGCTCACACGCTCGGTCCATCATATCTTTAGCATCCTTTTGTGGAACCATATCTCCGTCACCTAGAGTCTCTTTTTCATCTTTGAGGAAATTCTCCAACATTCAATGCCGTAAAGAAGTACAGATGTCACGTAACAGTTCAGTCCTCTTTTCTTCGTTACCAAAGAAATCCTCCAGTTTTGCAATACTCTGCCCATCTTTTGGAATGCGTCCTTGGCTTTTCCAATATATCTACGGATCTCAGTGTCGCATTTACCGTTCTCTGTCAGAATGCTTCCCAGATATTTAAACTTCCGCGTCTGCTCGATTCTAGTGTTCCCGATCTGCAAATTGCATCTCGCGCTCATCCTTTTACTGATGACCATGCATTCTGTTTTCTTGTAGTTTATGCTTAGTCCCTTCTTCACACCCGCCATCGCTACCTTCTGTAGGAGATTTTGTAATTTATTTGTATCTTATGTTGTTAAGACTGTGGCTGCCAAAGCTAAATCCCGGTAGGGTTTTGAATTCTTTCAGAATTGCCTCGCTGTATAGGTTGAACAGGTCGGGTGTGAAGACACATCCTTACCTTACGCCCCTTTCTATTTTTGTATATTCGCTGAACTCATTTTCTATGTGCACGCATGCTGTTTGCTAACAGTGTATGTTCTTGATTATTATAAGCTATAACAAGAAACTACATTAAGCTATAATAAGAAACGTATAATGAAATCAATAATGAAATTTCTTGGACATATAATAAGGAAGGAGCCTCTACACGCATTGGACATTGAAAGTAAGAGAAAAACAAGCAAAGGGCATGAGAAAAAGGAGGAAACACACCTCCGAGTTTGTGTGAATGGCTGACAGAACTGGAACAACGATGTATGAAAAATTGTAAAAAAAAATAACAGCAAAGGATAAGGAGCTTTGCTGAGTTATTATCTTCGAGTCCCTGAAATGATTTGATTCACCAAAGTAGAACATTAGGAAGTAATTTACGAGTTGATGATTTTTAAAATCTTGTTTTTTTTTAATTCGAAAATGACAAATAATAGCGAGAAGCATTGACTAAGGTGTAGACCAATGAAAACACGAATTAATCTATCAGTTTTTAACATTCCATATTGTTCAAATCCAACCTTCGTCAGTTCCCATCGTCCAATGTTTATGTGAGTGTGTGTTTATTAGTAATATGTTAAAACTAACGCATCAAATTCTTATAATAAATGGTGGAACCAAACATTTATTATAAAAATATCTTCTGTATCTCTCTTCGTCTGAAATCATTTTGTCTTTGTCATTTAATTTCTTACATTTTTGAATTCCTCGCTGTTCGCTTTTCCATTGTTTCTTCTTCATTGTTGTAAGCGTTTTTCATAATACTTCCCGCTTTCGATGATACGTATTTTCTATCTTTCTTTATTGACGAGTCCAATTTCTCTTCTCTTTCCTATTTGCACATAACGACTTATATTAATCTATCGGACATAGAGACTTGTGCTTCATCATTCATTTCCTGGTTTATCGATTTAAGTTACTCTCTTATCAATCTCGAAACAGTCCCTGACTATGAATTCTGCGTTTTTAATCCACTCTCTTGGATTTATACTCTTTAGTTTTATTTCTAAGTTATTTCTTATGCTCCTGAGATATTTTATTCGTTCCTTAATCCTTCCCAATTTATAGAGTCATATCCAATTATTTCAAGGTATGTACAGCGTTCATTCTTAGATAATGGTTTGATTTCTCTCGGGCAATTCAATTCCACCTGTTATAGAGTGTTGGCTTCAGAAAATTACTAACACTGCAATTTTTATATATCGATTTCAACTATAGGTGTAGCATGTGATTCATGCAAGGAAATACGAGAAGTTCTGAATCGAAATGTTCTAGAGGAGGTTGAGCATAAACTTGGTGTATCTCGAATCATGACAATATACTTAGCATTTAGCGCCCTTCAGAGAAATCAGCTGTAAGGTTGACCTGACAGATGACCACCGATTTGAAGAAGCGCCTGATATGTAAACACCTGGTCAATAGCATTTCACATGGATCTCAAGCATTATTAACCGCAGTTATATAAACACCCACCACACGAATATAATGGGTGATCTCTCTGATATCGCAGATAAAAACGTAAGGTCCAGGTTTGAATGAAGTCTCTGAGAACACGCGCCAAACCGACTGATGGAAATTGACGAGGGCTGGCGTTGAATAATATGTAATGTTAGAAAACTGAGTGAGAGATTAAGTCGACACCTAATACATTATCTCAAATAATAGTGTGACTATTATTTTTTTAGTGGTATTGTATTTTGTCTCAGGCCTTCTAAGGCTGACCTTTGGCAAATGATAGACAAAATAGAGATGTCGATTTTGATTGATTGATCAGAACGTGGAAATGTTAGAGATAGAACGTTATTTTGGGGAGTACGTTTTTTACACGTCCAAGAATGCAGACGTTATTTTCGTGTATGGAGACTGCTCCCCAGTGGGGTGGCATAGCGACCTCACTGGATTGTTAAAAATGCACACGTCGACGTGTCTAATAAATTCAAAATCCATTTTGTTGAAGTTTTCATTTTATCTCCATCAAACTAAATATCGATTACCCAGGCGAAAGATGACAGAAAGAGGAAAGCAACATATGAATGGATCAAGACCATCACCCAAAAGACTCTCAGAACGAGGGGGCTATACAAAAATTGCATATGCTAAATATGTATGTTTTAGGCAACGCTTTTCGTTCAACTTTGTTATTTTTGAATAATTAAAGATTATCAGTGCACATTTAGTGACTAGATTTTCCATTCTATTCGGAAAGTTGGTCTCTCGTTTTGAAAAGTTTTTTTTTTTTTTTAACATTATTGTTGTCCGGAATAGGTTTAATAGTCTTAAAAATGGAAAGTAACTTCTGTGCCATTTCTATAAATACTTTCATGTTAATTTTTGAATCGAACATTGATAATTTGTTCATGAGATATGCCGTGCTTCATTTTTTAGGAGACTTGCCCAAACTCTTATGGTCAAAAATATACACATATAAGTTATTGAATTGTATATGTGCCATCTTAATTCTCCATCAGAAAACAAAATGGGCTTCGGTAATTATTATAATTAAAAATACGGAAAGGGTTAAAAGTGTAATTTTGACTTCAAGTGGATGATATAATCAATTTCTATAACTGGTAATTTGTAAAGTTCATTGGCAACATGGGGAAAATGACTATGAAAAAACGCCAAAGAAGAAAGGAGTTTTAAAATTTCTAAAAATGATTAATGATACTTTTTTAATTAGAAATCCTTTATGATTATCGTATTTTTCGGAATATAAGAGGCATCCTTATATAGTAGACAGTTTTGGCAATTATAGTGAATAATGAAATATCGAATAGGCGATTAACGACAGTTACTGCATTAAACACTAATACGAACACATTCAAGTGAATTAAACCATCCCTATCTAAATATATGCCTTGTGTATATCATATACTAGTCGAGGTACCCGGCGTTGCCCGGGTGTAAATCGCTGCAATTGTATAACCTTTCCCTTTGTACATCCGCACTCACTAGTCTAGAAATGTGTGCCTGCGTCCCCTCCTGCATGCATTATCTGTTGATATACTAAGAATCATCTTTTTTATGGTATGTCTTTCGCAAGTGTTTCATTTCTTCTTAAAGGAATTTCATCGTTAAAACTTTCTTGTGTGGTTGTTGCACGGAGTTGTTTCAATGTTTTAGATATTCAGTAAATTTTCTATTGCCGTAATAACTTTCAGATAGTATGGTATTGTTCAGAAATCTAAATAGGGATGAAGCGTCAGAGCTTGATTCAAGTGCAAGTAGAAATGCATGAACGCCCCCACCCTTCTTCGCACGTTTGCGGTAAAGATGGGGTTAATAAGAGGTTCTGCGAGATTTTTTTTCCATTTAAGTTTTCATAATCCTTCATAAGCAATCTTCGCATCAAAAGATGTTCGAATGCCAATTTAGGATAGAATCCTATGAAGAAA